TTTTTTTATTAATAAACGAAAAGTTTTAAAGGAAAATTGCTAGAGAGGTAAACGTTTCTAAAAGGACCAGTTTATCTAATGCGTATTTTTGGATATCGAGTTTTTACGAAATATAAAAGTTATGGCAAAAATGGCTTGGTTATTTCAACCCCTTTCGAGGGGTTAAAATTTTCGAAAAATAGTTGAAAACTCGCATCTGTATTAGTAAACAACCTGTAAAAAATTTGTTATTTGTACCTCGTTCGGTTTTCAAATTACAGCCAATTTTCATAATTTTTTTGGAAACTTTGATGGCCCATATCTCTTCAGGGGTGAACATTTTACTAAGGCGATTTTTTGCAGATCGTGTTCTTTTGAAATGTAGAATCACTGGTATCATTTATGCTATTCCATTCAAAAACACCCTGTATATATATTTTTTAATTCAGGCGACAAAGAAAAATAAATAATGTACCTACCATCACGTGATTTGAAACAACTGAAATTCGTATTTATACGAAATGGAATAAAAAATATTTATGTTTAATTTATTTGCGTTTTCAAAAATCAAAAATTTTGAGATTTCATATAAGTACTCATGACTGCTATAAAATTTAAAACAAATGGAATTTTTGTGTGTAGATATATCACGAAAAATTATTTTCTGAAAAATAAAATTTCAACGTTCCTCAAGTTTACATGGTAACTGTTGAAACAATTTCAGAACTGTTGCTAAATTAAGTAATTAGGTAATTAATTTTTTTTCACTTGACTTCATTCTCTACTAGAGATAGACGGCATAAACTCGTCAAAGCCAGTTGGATATCACTGCATTTATGAATGAAAAATTGAATCAAGGCTACATTTATTTGAGGTATATACAGGGTGTCTCGGCCTCCTTTTCAAGATAAACTCCGTGAAAGTTTTCAAAGAAATATACTATATCTCTAAATGTCTTCCAAACGGATGAACAAATTGGAACGAAGTTTTATGTACCGACCAGTCTCAACTCAGATCATTCATGTAGACATTCAATTGTTTCTCAATCCACATCATTTGATAATTCTGTTAGGACACTATTATTAACAACTGTTTTATTTTTTTCTCACAAATATTATTCGAAAATCTAAATATTATACATTCGAAAAAAATTAAACCAGGCTAGATAAACAATGTTGTGGGTGTAACGTTAATCGCCCTTCATTAAGGTAATTGTCGAAAAAATAAAAGTTAGTGCCAATTTGCAATTTTCTTGCAGTCTTTACCCCAATTTTTTATGTTTAAAATTAGATGAAAAAGTTGTAAATATCTATTTCATATCTTTATTTGTTAAGTTTATAAATAATTATAATTTTCTGTTATTGCAGGGGGTAGGTGGGGAAGATGTCGACGATCGAAAGGAAGGAGTACCAGGAAACGAAAATCCTGCGATCTGTCTCTCCTGTGCGCAACACACGAAGTTCGACTCAAAACTTGTCACAATTCGACAGTAATTTAGGTGATTATTACTTTTACTTTGATTAAAATTTATATTTTCTTTTATTATATTTTAAGTAGTTTCACTGTGTGAGTGTATAGTTTACAACCAATATTTTCTATTTTTAGTTATACCAATTTTATAATTTGAAATGGAATGCCATGCCATTTTCTTACTGTGTTTTTAAACTTTTAATCACTTTTTTAACGAAAACATTACCTTAAAGTACCTCAACTGTTTCGAGAATTATTATTGTTTTATTTTTTGGTGAAACTGATGCAAAGAATCGTCTCTTAAATTTACGAAAGTTATTTCCCTATCGCCCAGTATACACAGGGTGAGCCATATTTAAGTCTACAAAATTTAATTCAAGTTTCCTTAGATCAAAGTAAAAAAAGTTGTTCTTTTGACATATATTTTTTGTCCATTGTCCATTATCCATTATTTTCTTTGCAACTTTGGTGTTTTTAACAGACGCTCCGATATATAGTTGCAGTTTCTGACTTCTTCATCATATCAGCAAGTAAATCGTTGCAATTTTTTACAGATTACTTATTAGAAGACTTACAAAACTCCGTTTCTCGACCCGGAAGTTCTCTAGGCCACAATACAGGTACATATAGAGAGACCTCACGATCTGCGCATACTTTAGATTCAGGACCCAGGAGCAACTCTCTGAACAGAATAACTAATGTTAAATCCTCGAACCCAGTTACGGAATACTCTTCTGATGATGCTTACAATTACTCGGTAAGTCAATGACATAGAAAGAAACGAAGAAATATGTTATGATTAAGTCCATACAAAAAGGCATAAGTTTCAAAAAATTGTAGAATAAATTTCATTTATAATAGTATTATTACATAACAGTTAATTTTAAAAAGATGCTTTCATTATTCTTAATATTCCCAACCTTCTGATAGCATTCCCAATAGTAATCAAAGTGTTTTTAATTTTTTTTATGGTCAATAATTAAACATATGTACATATCTACTAACGCAGAATTAAATACATATATCTAAAAAGAAAAATCATAATTGTAAAATCGTTATAGTCTCCGGATGGCAGACAACACGTAACTGGATATAAGAAAGAAAAGTATATGTATAAAACCTCATCTTCTGGTGATGCCCTTCCAGAAAAAACACGAATGCAAAACAGTATTAATCAGTTGGATTCCCTTCTCGATGACTTGCAACAAGTAAAAAAATCTTCTTTCTCGGAAAATGGTAGGTAAATATTTTTTGCTTTAGGTACAGTTGCATTAATAATTAACCATAATTTTCATCCGGTTTCAATGTGACGGCCCAAGAGCCATTTTTGTTAAATTCAAATATTATTAAATGAATTTAATCAAAATTACTTTAGACATAAAATGATTTCACATGTCATCTTCTAATATACTCTAACAACTAACCAAATTATATCGGAAACCATTTTAGTAGCATATTAGTCTAAGTTCATGTTTGCCTTTGACAAAGCAATTTAATCCCTCCTTCATTGGCTTGTGTGTGTGTGTTCTTTAAAGAATTCCGAAGAACTGCCATCCTTTATTATTCGATATCACGGCAAATAAAACAACTATTTGCCGTGTCGATATGATGGTAGAGGATGGACTTATTCTCAGTGCGCATTTAGTGCAAAAGTGCAAAGGAAACGCTGTTAGGCAGGTATCTAAGAGACGAAAATCGCACGAGGTTCATCGCGCAAAAATGTTAGCTTCGATTGTTGCCATTGAACGTATCGGAAAAGTGATATTTGCTTTATTCGCAAATTGTTCTTAAAAAGAATCCGGAGATACAAACATCTATGTACTATTTTTTTTTTGTTTTTTCTTGCTATAGAATCCATGAAATATTTCTTATCAGACTACGCAATTCTGTCGCGGCAACTGAATTGCATGAATTAGAACATGCTCTATTCCGTGCAACAAAATTGCAGGGATTCTAGTTACTTTTATGGAGATTTGTTTATTACCAACCTATCTGCTGTTGACTGTTGGTCATGNACTGCCCATCGCCTCTTACGTTTTCTATTACATATTTTTTTATAGCACAAATATAATATACACGGATCCATTTTCATGTACTTCACTGACTACTGTGTGGCATGAAACTGGCGACAACTAATAGAATACGCGTGCATAAAATGGAGCAGAAATATGCCGCGTTTTTCTTAATTTCGCGTTGAGCGGAGAAAAACGCGTGCATAAAAGAGGTCTATAAGAGACGAAAATCGCGCGAGGTTCATCGCGCAAAAATGTTAGCTTCGATTATTGCCATTGAACATATTATTGCTTTATTCTCAAATTTTTCTTAAAAAGAATCCCGAGATACAAACATCCATGTACTAACTTTTTTTTGTTCTATCTTGCTATAAGTTCTTTAGGGATTACAAGAGATACCTATGAGTTTTAGATGTCTATATCTAATTAATGTACCTTAATTGTAATGTAGAAAAAGCAAAGGCAATCAAATCTTTGTCTTGCGTTACAATACTGCGATTAGATGAAACATACTTTTGGTCAATCTTCCTTAATATTAGAGAGACTTTAATGCTCTGCAACCCTTAAAGCTTGTATCAGACAATGCAATTTTGTTGCAGGGATTTGGTTGCTGCGATAGAATCCATGAAATTTTTCTTATCAGACTATGCAATTCTGTCGCGGCTACTGTATTGCATGAATTAGAACATGCTCTATTCCGTGCAACAAAATTGCAGGGATTCTAATTACTTTTTATCTCCAATATATCGATCTAGGTATACCTATTTTAATAATTATTATTATTTTAGTTTTGGTTATCTATTGGGTGTTTATTAAGTACTTGTACAAACTTTAAAGGGTCAATCTTTGACTAATTTTAAGATAAAATTTCATATGAACATGGGTCCGCAACGGCTTGGTTCTTGAGATACAGAGCCTTCAAAAAAAATTCTTGTTTGGTATTTTGATAATATTTTTTCTAATTTTAACTTTAAACCCATTTTTTTACAAAACGGCTGCTTTCAGCGTTAAATACTAGGAATAAATTTTGTACGTAAAATTGAATGAAGAATAGGTATGACACAATACAGTGTGAGACAAAAAAATTATAGTTATTTAAATCCAGGTAGAACACTGTATGTGGCGCCCTCTAACATTAAACAGAAAACTAAGTAAACATTTGAGTTTCTCATCATCGATAGTCCCAGTTTCCAGTATTTCATCAAATTGCCATATTATTGAACAAAAATATAATCAAAATACCAAAAAAAAAATTTTTTTGGACGCTCTGTATCTCAAGAACCAAGCCGTTGTGGACCTATAGTCATGTGAATTTTTTATCTTAAAATTAGTCAAAGATTTATCCTTTAAAGTTTGTACAAATACTTAATAAACACCCTGTATATCTGAAATATAAAATCTCAATATTTTAATTTTGTGGTTGTGAATCTGAAACAAGAACGTTCTTTCATCTTTAAAGTCGTCTTTTGCAGAAAATTTAATGATGCAAATATTTAAATGCGAGTATTTGGATGTTTTCTTTTAAATTATGATGCCTAATTCCAGTTCTAAAAAACTGGTAAAAATTGTCAAAATTATTCATCTATATTTGAGATACATTTCAAAATATTTGATTTTCTGGGATAAATTCGAATAGAATTGGCTCGTTTGACTGTTATAAAGAGTTAATTGGTTTTAACTTATATTATTTTATAATTTGATCAAATACATGAACATGATAGTTCTGAAGATCTTTTGCCTTATTGATTTATTTATATGGACACCGATCGCAAAATTAACTTTCTTTCTCTATATTTTCCTTAGGGATAATAAACCAAAATTAACCTAAGTTATTGTTGAAATAAATGAAAGACAATTTTTTATACATTACAACAATGCGCTACGTTCTTCTTTTTCGATAAGTGCTAATTGTAATCGTGCAGATTCATGCTGGGCTTAATTGTTTGTAAATTTAAAGTAGAAACGCACTTTTCTCATGTTACGTGCTGACATCACGTAAAACGTGAGGTAGTGTGATAGGTACAGGGTGATTCACTATATTTTGACCCCCCCCTTTAACTTTTTTGTTTTAAGAGTTAAAAAAAAAATGTAAAATACAAAAGTTGCACGATTTTTTTATTAATTTTTCGAAAATTATATTTGAGAAACAAATGAAGTCCAGACAAAATGGCCGCGGATGTTAACTTTGTTAATTTAAATGGAACACCCTGTATATTTTTACATATTTGGATAGAACGTTCCCTGTTGAACATAGCCATATAGAGTTTGTTGGGTCCATCTCTAACAATAAGCAAGGTACTATTAAAAAAAGAAAATAATGTTTTTTATTAAGAAAATAAGATATATTGTAATTGTTCGACCTCTTTCACGCATTTCTGCCTTTTTTCCAATTACGTAAGGATTTACAGATTCAATTGTAATATATTTTGACATATCGGACATTGATACGATCCAAAATGCGTATAGGTATTTTAATTAAATCTCAGTAATTAGGCCGTGCGAGGCCTAATTACTTATGGGCAATGTTATATGGTAGGTCGTGACAGTGACAGGTAGTAATGTCCTGATAACATTGTTATTGATTGACAGTTTGTATTATTATTTAGTAGAAGTAGAAAATTGAAAAATTATTGGGAATTAAAATGGAGTATGGAGAATAACTTAGTCTATTTTAATTCCTATAATTTTTCATTAAATAATAATACAAACTGTCAAACAATAACAATGTTGTTATAACATCACCTGTCACTTGTCCATGAGTAATAGGTCTCTCACGGCCTAATTAGTGAGATTTAGTTAAAATATCTATGTCGAATATGTCAAAATATTTTACAACTAAATCTGTAAATCCTTACGTAATTGGAAAAGAGGCAGAAATGCCTGAAATTGGTCTANCTCACGGCCTAATTAGTGAGATTTATAATTAGAATACCTACGCATTTTGGACCATATTAATGCCCGATATGTCAAAATATATTCCCTTCTTTTCTTTTTAAAAGTATCTCGCTTGTTGTTAGAGATGGACCCAACAAACCCTATATGACTATGCTCGACAGAGAACGTTCTGTCCAAATATGTAAAAATATACAGGGTGTTCTATTTAAATTAACAAAGTTAACAACCGCGGCCATTTTGTTTGGACTTCATTTGTTTCTCAAACATCATTTTCGGAAATTCATAAAAAATCGTGCAAATTTTGTAATTTACATTTTTTTATAACTCTTAAAACAAAATAGTTAAAGGGGACATAGGTAATATTTAATTAACTAATTTAGTTTAACCATGAATCGATCTAGGATAAGTAAAACAATACCTATCTTAATTAAATTTGCTGATTCAGAAGATATTTATAAATTCATTTATTTTCAGAATCCTATAATAGCATTGGCTCAGATCCAGCTTTTCAGTAAGTATATTGTTTAATTCTGTTATCTTTTTATAGTACCTTTCCATTGTCACTCTGAAATGTCTAATGTTTTAAAATCTCGGTTGTCCTAAAAGATTTTTCATATATACATTATGTTCTTTTTATATTACTTACTTCGGTAATGTAAATGGCGTATTACTTTTGGATTTTGTTTGGAATATTCAGAGATCAGAGTGTTAAAGAAGTGTAATAAACTTTGAGGAAAGGCTAAAATATGCTAGAATATACTACAGAATACAACTGAATACATTTGTTCCATAATTTAGCTGCTCACTGTATATTTATAAATCTAATTTTCTTACTTTTAAATAGTTTTTTTTTTAATGATGATTGTTACAAAATTATTAATATCGAGATTATCGAGTTCCGACTTTTTTGTCCAAAGCATTGACACGATGTTGGTGACTCTACCGGAGATCGTAGGGAGTTGCATTAGCCAATCACGTGCCCGCACGAGGGAAAAGAACACCAAACTATCTCTTTCTCTCTCTGTCACTCGTTTACACTGTCGCCGTAAGCGTGCTACCACCATGTAGTATATACTCTAAGAGTGCAACTGATCTACGATCGTCCAATCGTGGGGTTCGAACCCGCAGTCTCATCAACAATCATTGAGACTGATGCCTTAAACTGCTACTAGGCTATCAAATATGTAACGTAGGGATGTAAGAAGTTAACGTAATATATGTTTTTTATCTTTAGGCAGAATTTTTAAAAAGTTAAAAATAAACACATTCTATCTGAAGCTATTTCTTATCTTTCCGAATCGATATTTTTATGTCAACATTACTGAATTTTTTATGTAAAATGGAACAGGTCTGAAAATTCATCAAAAGCATATTTTGTTCACAGCTGTGGCATAGTAAAACGCAACACGCAACTTTTTAATTTATCCTTGAAGGAGTTGTAACTCTCTAGTAATACATATTAAAGAATATGTTCGTAGGAACTTTTTCTCTTATTTCTTCTCTACGAGAGCGTAATAATTCTTCGAAGTTTATTACACAACTGTTTAGAAATTTAATTAAAGTTTCACTAGTGATATATGCAAACTGCAAACAGTGAAGGGAGATGGGCCATACTCAGCAAATTAAAATGTTAAATTTTAAATAAAATTGTGTATATTAATTTCGTAATCTCGTGAAGACTTAACTGAAAAAAGTTAATAATCCGGACCTGCTAGTTTACCTTTCTATAGGTCCATTTTTTCTAGTTAAAATTAAAATTTAACCACCTTTAATTTTCATATTTTACTTTTTTAAATGCCCACCAAGTATTGAATAAGTAATAATTGAATAAATTGTTACATTAGTACCTACATTTCGACAATAAAGGGGTGATTCTTTAGACCATCTTCAAGTCTATCAATTTATGTCTTAAATAGTTTTTATTTTCGAGGTCCAGTGTTAAAATTTTTGTAAAATATTATTTCTATGCAAACACCTGGAAAGATTATTAATGGAGGAAAATAAAAAAAAAAATCGCACTAAACACTGAATATCACGCTCATTCAGCAATTTTTTTTATTTGCTTAACGGAAAGATATTGCAATTAGGTATTAGGTTCTCTGCAAAAAAAATAAAATTTTATATAGCCTACAAGTCATCGAAAAAAAAACATAAACTGGTGCGCTGAATATACACTGAACCGGCGGGTGTGATGTCACCGCATGGGAAACCGATGCCGTACGCTTGCATCTGTTGTCAGTCAGTCGCGTAATCGGGTTTTAGTTGCCTGTTAAGTTTCGGTTGAGTACGTTAAGATACCAAATTTTGTTAGCAATATGGATAGACACAGAACAGAAAAATAATTACAAATATTGTATTGTTTCCCAGTGTCAGAGCACTATAATGTGAAGACGCGGATCTAAAATCAATAATCTATTAGTCTCTATTGTTGTTGTTGTTATTTGTTTTTTTTTAATCTTTTATTTGAAAAATGACTTATTTTGAAAGCAACAAAACTACCCTGCGTAATTTAGGTAGGTACCTTTATAAATAAATACGTTTGTATCCTCAAGGAACACTATACACTTTTGTTTTCCATTGCTGATTTTTTAGTGAATATTATACAAATACCTATAGGTACTAAGTATTTTATAAAAATACATAATAATATTATTAATATATTTATAAGATATTAGGTATATTTTATGTAGTTCCCATGGGAATAAAAATAGTAATAAGAATTTTGTATTTGATTAGGTAAATCTTTGAAACCCGTGACAGAAACGGTTTCGTCCAATTAAACGCAAAATCCTGATTCCTATTTACTATTCTTATTGTACAAAAACATCAAAACTTTCGCTACAAACTTACTTTAAAGGAGCTTTACACGTTATTGAAACGTAACCTTTGCATTTTCACTCCTCTCATCTCAATCAGTACTGATAAAGTGATTTTTATTAAAAAAAATCCATAACCATTAACAAACCTACTTCCGGCAAATTAGAAGAATCTGCTTTTACGAAATTTGCTTCTATTTTTTAAATTTAATATGCACAAACGCTAAAACATTCATCATCTCGCCTGGAAGTAGCGCCAAGCCGGCTGACCATCCCATGCGGTGACGTCATTGCATTGCTAGGGCTGAGATAAAATATTCGCGTTTTAAAAATCATATATTTTGTGTATATATAGTATATAAGAAAAGAACGTTTTTGAAAATTTACTGAATGAGTGACCAATATACTTGGGAGTGTATATTTGTTGAAATGTTTACACTATTTCGAAAATTCAATCAGTTCACTTGCTTTATGAGTTTTTCTTTAATATTCTTAAATAAGTTTTCTTCACACTTGAATAAATTATATTTTCGATTTATTCACTATGTGCTGTTTATTTTAGGCTAAAATAGAAATCTGAAATTGATCCGCTTTGCGATTTAAATGGAACAGGATTTTTTTTTAAATATAATTAAGCATTAAAAATTTTTATCTTTACTTAAAGCATATTTCTTTATTTTACATGAAATGTGTACTTAAATGTGAAAATTTTCGAAAACTTGTATCTCAACAATTTAAGAGTTTAGTACCTAAGTTCATAGGAATTTATTTCCTTAAAATAATGTAGAGAATCACATCCTTTATTATTGGAATATACTTAAAAAACACCTGTGTTAAAAATTTTACCAGTATATATCTGTAATTTTTTTATTTATTAGAGCATCTAAGAAGACGGTTAATCGTGAATTGCATTATGGGGACACACCTAAATCGAGTTCAAGAAGTCGTACAATAGAACGTACAGATCGTGAGGCTATGAAAAGGGATGTTCAGTACACCAGTGAGGGTAAATACAAAAAAAATAAATTGTTATTTTGCCACAATTTATGAAAAATTAAATTTTGTTTTTTAAAAGAACCATAAAAAAATAATTTATTTTATCTTAGGTACTTACGGCGATCTTAGATCTATTAGAACAACATCACCATCTCCATCATCACGAACATCTACTCTCTCTAAAAAAGCGGTAGTGAAAAATATACACGAATACCCAGTAGAAGTAGTTGAAACCATAGTCCCAGAAATAGATCCAGAAGTTTTAGCCCACTTAGACCCAAATTTGCGACCACCAGGTAACACAAAAGTAACGACTACAATTAAAACTTACACATATGAAATACCTGGTTCTGGAGAGTATCCCACAAATATTACAAGTAATTCGATAGACAATGAAAAATATGTTTATTCTCCCAATTCTATATCTACTCCTAGTAAAAGTTTCAATTATAACAAGGTCGAAAACAAAGAAAACACAACATACAGGCAAGAACCAACTTGGCAGACAAATATTAATAAAGAATACAAAGAAGCTGTTACAGATAGTGTAAACTATAATTACCCTCCATATCAGAAACCTGCACCTCCAGGTGGTGTCATCGTAAAAGAAACTACAACACGTAACTATCAGCCTGGTTACAGTCCTGAGTTAAGTCCGCCATCAAATCATCAAACGTATATTTATAAAGAAACAACAACTAAGAATGTGAATGAAAATAGTTATCCGCAGCCTCATTCTCCTAGACAGGATACTTACATTATAAAAGAAACTACCACAAACGTTAACAAAAACGAATCTCCATACCCTGACAGGAGATATCCTGAGGGTACTCCGCCTTATAATGATGTCAGAAACTATCCACCAGGTCGAGAAACATACATAATAAATGAATCACACAATACAACAGTTAATAAAACTGAGCCACCATTTTCTCAAAGGGGATATCCAGTGGGTAATCCTCCAGATGACAGAGGTAATCCTCCACACACCACTTATATAATAAAAGAAACCCACAACACCACCAATACAACCGCTGGCCCACCCTATAAAAATGGTTACCCACCAAATGAACCTGGAAAGACAATTATATACAAACACGAAACACATACTACAAATACTCATGGGCCTGGGGGACCAAACAGACCAAAAACTCCTAGCGATGTAGAGTCATTTGAACCAGTTAATCCTCCATATGGAAGAAAGCCGAATGAACCGATCAATGTCCACTATTCATACAAATCAACAAACACTACACAAAATACTTATAAGGGAGGATACCCACCAGGTGACGAGTCTCAACCACTATTGCCACAAAAGTTCCCTACGGATGATGCACCTGAGGGACCACCCAAGAGATTAGATGAACTTATGGCAACAATTGGCCATGAGGTTAGTGTTAGTGACTGTGCTATATTTAGTGATAGAAATATCCTAATTTTTAAAGTATGAATTATCATTTACCAGAAATCATGGACTGATTTTAGCAGCAATATAAAGCCTTTCCTTGTAAATAAATATCTTTGTTAGTGTAGATTTTTTGAAAAATACCAAACTTTCTGATTGCAACTTTGTCTTTTTCTAGTTTATTTGATGAGCTATACACATATAGAAAACGATTTTACAATCACTTTTTTCTCTAATCAAATATGGAATCTTTTTTTTTATATATGAACTTATTAATATTATTACAATTGTATTCTTTTTGGATTTTCAGGTATACTCAACTGTGTATCATACGATTTACGATTTATAGACATTTCGGATCAGAAAAGCCATGAGTTTTATTTTCAAGTACTTGATATTGATATGATGATAATGATATGATATATGATATGATATATATATGATATATATGATATGATTATAATATTGTATCCAAAAACTTTCATAGATTAGAAAAAAAATAGCAAAACAACAAAATTTTAACAGGATTAGATTTCATAACAATCAACACATTTTTTCCATTAATTGTGTTTTCTTTGTTGGTATTTGATAAAAAAAACACCTCTACAATTTTATTTTCAAAAACATTTATAAAATACGAAAAATTAATAAATACTGAAATTTTTAAGGGAATATAATTTACATTAGAATAAAAGCTACAAAAGTTGTTGGATAAAATATCGAGTTGTACCTACTAAAACTTTTTATAACTTGCAGCTTATAATATATTTAAAATTTTATTGTGAATTTTTTTGCTAATTTAAAGATGAACAGAAAAGCAAAAATGTCCCTAAGAATGTTTTGTTTCATAAAGTTTTTCAAATAAACCCAGAAAATTACAAAATCGGAACCTGAATATTTGATTTTAAAACATTCCCAGGCAAATAGATATTTTCTGTTCTTCTATTATTAGAAAATTATCCCACATTAACGCTGTTTGGCCGTTTTTTTATGTATGACATTATCTGATATATCAATAGTATTGCTCCCAATTAATTAAAATTTCTGCAGATATATTTACAATTCTCTTATTTTTTAGCCTCCAAATAGCCCTCTAAATGCTGGTTTTAATGCTCACGAACAGGAACTAGCACAACAAAAGAAAATTGACACCCTAAAAAAACAGTCAAGTGAAGTTGAGGACACACAAAAGAAAGAGCCCATAATTAAAACAAAAAATGTGTCTGGACCACCTGTATATTATCCACCAGGACATGAAATGTTTGCTAAAAAAGAGGAAAGCGAAGCTGCATGGAGAGCTCAAGTAAGAAATAACAGATAAAAGGGCCTTAGCTTGTTGTTGTTATTAAAGTTACAAAAAATGTTTTATTTTAATCAATTTAATTACTGTAGTAGATATATCGGGGAGGTCGCTCCAGGAATTATAAACAATATTTTTCTTAAAATGACTTTATTTCTTCAAATCTTATAGGCCCCATACACAATCAAACAATTTGTGCCAACTTTTGTTGTATAACATAATGTTATACAACTTGGTGATTATATACACGATACCACAGTTTGTGCAAATTTATTGAAAATACGCACGTCTTTGTCAGCATTTTCTTCTACTTCCCTCAGTTTGTTTACTAATTTTTCATAGCCTGCACTTTTTAAATTTCGATTTTTATAAAGTTCACCTTTACCTTTCCATAGCCAAAATTTTGTATTTCTAACTGTAGATAAAGCCATTTTATTCATTTTTTAAAACCGCTCCAACAACTCTAGTTGTAAGACACTATTCGTTTGTTATGTTGTACAACACCTTCAAACATCCACATACACGTTCATACCTGTTTGAGTGTCATGCGTTGCACAAATAATTTCAAACAAGCTCGAATTTACTCAAACTGTTGCGCAACAGCTCCAATCAAAACATACATGATCAACATGTTTGTACAACGCCCTCTGTTGTGCAAAACCCGCAAAACTTATTTCTTAACCTGACATTCTCTGACAACTGCAACTATATAAACTAAAAACACAAAACATTTGACCCAGACATCTGTTCTTCTTCGCTTAAGACTTCTTAAATTGAGCAAAAATTCAAATTTTAAAACAGGTTACTGCATTACTTAAAATGTTCTTAGAGAAATATTTTGCAACTTTGCTTTTTAATAATTTTTGACTATTCATTCGTTAAATATGTTTTATATTCCTTACAAAAACGTACACCTCAGTATATTATATGACAAAATAACATAATTTTTCTTTTTTCTAGGGTGGATATGCAAAAGCATCTGGAAAGTATCAGTATGAGGCTGAGAGTAAAAGTAAATCCAAGAGTAGTAGTGGAGCAACTGTTGTCCCTGTATGTTTGCCATTGTGCTGTGGCCTTCCGTGTGCCCTTCTGTAGAATATATTCGGCTCAAATATACTTCCATATATATCACACTAAGAATTCTCAAGTGCCTTACTCAATTTTCTGTTGTATAATTATAATATATATATTACCTCATTTTAATATTTTTTTATAAATCTATGACAATTTTTTCCTTTTTGTTTAATTCTTGTTTTAACATTGTATAAATTATTAATTAAAACAATTACATGTAAATACTATAGTGTGTATTTGGTATAAAAAGCTTTAAATAATTTATGTACAATTTTTAACTATAACACATTATTGTTATATAATAAATAAGTTTATTTAAATCAGAATAATTCTTGCCTGTTAACAATTGTGCCTAACTATACAGATGTATTTTATAAAATTAAAATATATAATCTGTTACTCCTTGGTCTTAGTCCTTTGTTGCACTAAACCCAACAAAGTGCAGTCTGCTTCCAATAAGGTCAAATCTTTTTCATATCCCAAAAATTTTGACGATAATTCTAGATCATTAATGCGCAGTCTAACTTCGGCTCCTCTCACGTAATTACTAAAAGTGATAATAGTCACAAATAAAAAATTATGTTAACTATAGGCACAAAGATGTTTCACACATACAGTGAGAGGATTAAGTATTACTCCTCACTTAAGTTTTTTTAAAGAAACATTTGATAAAGTTGATTTCACAATAACACTCATATTGACATGTTTCCACACCTTCTGATTTTTCAATTATAACCCCAACGTCTGCTTCTAACAATCTGGTTAAAATTCTTTTATGTATGATATATCTTGCATGATATTTACATAAAAAATTTTCAAGGATTAAACTTCAAATTTTTTTATGTTATTCAACTTTTTGACTTCGTTAAATGTGCCGTGGATGTATTTGATGAATTAATGAAAAAAAAAGAACGGTTCTACAATGAATTGTTTCATGTAACATTGAATTACAAGTAATTTCTGTGGTTTATACCTAGTGAAAACTAATTTGTGTTTACATCATAACATGATATATCATTTGAAAATAAATTTTATACAGATTTTGGACATTATGAATAATAGCAATGTAAAACACCTCTTTTCAAAAATCAAATATGTATTTTCAAATAAAACATTACCTACAGGGCATCATTTTATTTTATTCATGAATAAATTGATTACTTGACTGATTGTTATCATTCCAAAAATAACTTGATGTGACACTTTTAACAATAATTGCCCATAGATCACATTTCGCAATATTAACTTTAAAACAGTGCATCCTGTCTTTAAATGTAACATTTCTTATATCAAAAACCAAATGTTTTTCTTATTTCAATAGAAAAGTGAACTGTATAGTGATTTGGGTTCAAGATGACTCAGTAACTGTGATGGTTAGATCCCTTTATAAGAAAAGGAAAAAAGCAAATAAGAAACCGCAAGCAGGGATTATTATTATGACAGGATTTTCTATTTGCAGTTTCCATTTTCTTAGTTAGTTCTGGGTCACCATGTACAGTTTACAATTTTTGTTATAATTGTACCCACATAATAGGTCTTATAAGCTTCACTACCATTATTTCAAACTTAACTCCTGAACGGCCTTCAAAATTACTAGATTTAAAACATCTTGATTTGAGGCAGTCATTTACAATTTTCCTATAGTAGCATTGCAGGTTAAAAAGGTGATCTAGGTGTCCGAAATAATTTGTTTTATTATTCCATAAACTAGTATTACAAAGTTAATAGAGAAATCCAAGGTTCAGTAAAATATATTTAACTTTGCATTAATATGGAAAGATTGGCATCAAATGTTCATAATTCTTAAAAATCAACTCGATACATAATTTTAGACATACCTAGCATTTTTGGTGGGTCTTGGGCAAACACAGTGAAATTTCCATCCAAAATCTATATACAAATCGTCTTCAACTACATGAAATATTTTTCCTATTACAATTTTGCCAGCAGGATCTCCCAACTAAAATACATTTAAATTTGTAGTTTTCTTTGAATATTTAAAATAAATTACCTACTTACATCAACAAATGCAGAATATCTTAATAAAGAAGCAAATGTTTGTGGAGACTCATTAGAATCGTTTATAGTTTCAAATTTTTCAAAAGACTGGGCAAAACCGCCAGGTTTTTTAATGTTTTTGGAAGTTTCCGTTTTTAACTCATTAGAATCAGAAAAAAGGACTGTACGAATTTTACAATTGCATAATTTAATATCAGAAAAAAGAATACGACTTTTATTTACTAACCTAAAAATCGACATCTTAAACACAAAATTATTTCAATCTCTAATGTTGTTTATGAAAATGTTTTAAAAACTTTGTTATGCTTACTTAACTCCTTCTCACATATCACTTTAGCTTTAGAATTTCAGAGGTTAGGTCAAAAAATCGCATCTCGCTTTTTCTTAAGAATCGTTCACAGATCACAGAACTAGAGAAACGTGGAACTAGTAGACTTCTTAAGGCATGGTACATGGTGAGTGGTGTGCGCCATTATTCCATGACTACGCGCCATTATTCCATGGCTAGAAATTGGCCTCAATGATTTGGGATCGAGGGGGATTATCCCTCTTTATCCTGCCTCATCTCGTGTAGGCCTGGACAGCCTTCNAGGCTGTCCAGGCCTACACGAGATGAGGCAGGATAAAGAGGGATAATCCCCCTCGATCCCAAATCATTGAGGCCAATTTCTAGCCATAGAATAATGGCGCGGCGCACTTAAAAAGACAGCTATTATAGCAATTCGAACAAAAAACTCCATTAAAAGACTTCTGGGTCTTGGGGGAGTAAGACCAATTCTAACGGCCCAGAGAAACCATGAATTTTATGAAAATTTTCTTCTTAAAGCTCGTTTCAGTGAGCTCAACATTTTTTTTTCAATTTTATAATCTGTCAGATTTATCATAATGGTGTGTAATTGGAGATACACTGTAATAAAAATTCGTGGCTAAACTCAGGAGCAGCTTGTAATTGGCCCATTTTAATTATTATTATGGACTATTATTGTACATTTTAATTTAAAATTTTTAAAACAAACAAAATATAAATATTTCCTAAAATATACAGCTAAAACAGCTGATTTAAGTTGAAGCCAACACGCATGCACCAAGTGTCGCCTGAATTTTATTCTGAATGGTCAAATCCGTGCAGACTTTCGTGCCGAAGTGTAAGTTGGCTAGCAAATTGATTCTGAATGCACCTTTACTGTTGTCAAATCACGTGACGTATTGATGTAATTGAAAACTATTATACGAACTCCTACATTTATATATTTTGCTATATTTTGTGCATGTACTTATGTTCCTCTATTAAAAAATATATTTATTAAAATCTCCTGTTGAAAAAAGAAATCTCCTGTTTTTTTGGCTACATTCCTACTGTTGACAGAAATTTCCATCTGGCAACACTGGTCGTTAATGCTAGCCGCCCCCTAGGGACGTTTTAGTGTTCAAGCTATTTTTCTGTGAAGGCCACAGAGAAAATTTACCGTATAAGGATATTTACATAACATTTTACCTCTCTCTTCTGTATTTATACAAAAATAATGTTTTATCTAACACAGTTCGCTTATGAAGTACACTTTTCACTTTGTTTCGCTTACGTTAAATTTAGACCTCTCAATCTTTATATGTATACCTATCACTGAAGTCATAAGAAAGCGAAGTATTTCTCTGAAATCGCTAGAGGGTTTCTTATAATTCCAGCCTGCAATTTTTTTGTAGCTATATTNGAGCCGGCGAAGCAAGAAGAGCGCCAGAAGAAAGGGCCCTAGCCGGCGGGGCCCAGCCAGGACAAAAGCAGGTCCCACAAAGCGCCTACAACGGCCGCATTTGCGGTCGGGGTAGACGACGGATGGGGCCCACCTACGAAGAGGGATAATCCCCCTCGACCCCAAATCATTGATGGCAATTTCTAGCCATGGAATAATGGCGCGGGTTATCACTCTATATATTTTATACTTTGTGTTTGTATATTAAATGTGCTAAATAAAAGAAATTTGGTACATTATGTTATTTATTATTACTGATATTTGAAGTAGATTTGTATTAATATATATTAATTAGAATTTACATAAAAATATAATGTTGATTTAAAAACTTTCTAGTTGCATGTTAAATTTGTCTACAAGAAAAATGTTGGCATTGGAGTATTTTTTATTACAACTTTTCCAAAACTGCACTGATTTTAATTTCAATCCATCCTTTATACTTTGAGCCTGGAGAATTTTGAAATTGACATGGTGTATTTTGAACTGAAATTTTTTTTCGTACCGTCAGTGGTCACCGAGGACGCTACAGTTTCGCCTGTTCACTACAAAATAGCATTCTTAACTAAGTTAGGCTATGGTCGTAGCCATAAGCACAAATTCGTAAAGTTTGTTAAATTGGTTAAATTGTCATTTGTCATTTGAAATATTTCATGTGGTGGAGGAATATTTATTTTTGGAAATTTTTGTATATAAGGTCTGTAAAATCTGAAATTATTTTTACTCTAATCTTAGTATTTTGTTACAATAATTAAAAAATGTCTGCTTCTGAAACTCGAATTTCTCTTTGTGGTAAATTGGGTTTAAAACCATTAAATGCCCACAATATTTTATTTTACTATGCTCCGGTGCAAGGAGTACTTAGTTATACGGCGCTGTCCATAAATGTTATGAATCCATCATTAGTTTTAAGGTAAGGCCACTATTTAATTTGAACTCAGTAATTGATTGTATAATTTACAGAATCTTCCCCAAAAAAGATATAACAAATATATTGCTTTTTAACACTTTAGTGGGATCAGGATTGTATTTATATAACAGACCTCATTTGAGTTTACTTCCAGCCAAAGAACGACTTTTGTATAGGTAAGTTCAGTGTTAGGAATTTTTCTCTTTAATATCTATATAATTTTCCAGTTCATTTGGAGCTGTTACCTTTTCTCTTGGATCTGTACTGATATGGGCCATTGTGAGAAGCTTGGTACCGCAAAATGTAGCTTTATGTTCAGTGTGTGGAATTGGTTCAGGTCTGGCAATGCTAAAAATTGCTTCTAGTTATACGGAACATGTAGACTCTTTAATTGCTAAAAAGGCATAAATATTTATAATTTAAGTAATTGGTGGTATATATATCCGTAGGCTTATGACTGTTTTTTTAGTAATAAAATTGTATGTAGATGTTTTTATCGCAGTTATTTGTAATGTCATCTGTCAGTTCAGTATACAAAATTTTTAAAATGTGTTCAGTCACAAAACAATAGGTGAAAAATACAATACCCAAAATGTTGGGTCTATGTTATAATGACTGAAACCACTTTATCTGAAGAGGAGCAATGGAGAAGGCTAGTAAGACATTTTTTCATTGCTGCCATTTATCAGGGCAGAGTAGCATATTGCATAATGTCGATTCATGCTGTGAATCCTTATATACTAAATTCGTAAGTGGTTAAAAAAATATACACGAAGTAGTTAGGTAGTTAATTTATATTATAGCATCCTAAGTTATGACCCATATCCGTACCTCTGGGCAAATATGATCTATGGTATTGCAGTCATGATATTTAGTAGACCATCACTGAGAATAATTGTGCCAATTAACAGACTATCATTTGGGTAAGGAATTCTAAGTACAATCTCTCAAGAGAAACCAGCCTCATCAGAATCTTTTTAGAATCTTGGGGTCTCTTATGTTTAACCACTCCAGTATGATTTGTTACCACTGGCTTTCTACGGTATTTCCTAACAGACCATATGTTCTTACTATTATGGCATTTTTCAGTGGGAGATTTATGATGATGCATTTATTAGCTTTTCTTTATCATCTTGATAGTAGAAGCCATATGTCAGGTTCAATAGTACCAAGAGACTATACATTAGAATCGATGTACTTATAAACAGGAGCTACAACAAAGATGACAACAAATTAAGTACATTATTTTTCGGAAAAATATTTTTAATAAAATCTTGGAAAGTAATTGCCACGGCATTTATACAATCGTGTTTAAATAGTAAAAACTACAATTTGTTTTTCAGTGGCTGTACGTAGAAATTGATAGTTTAGAGAAAAATATTGTAGTTAATAAAAAGAAAAATTTATAACTGCAATAAATAATGTTTTAGGGATTTCTCAAAAATCTATTATCATGCCTAGGGTGATTTGTTAACACTTCAAGCAACAAAGTTCCTGTGATAAATTATTACTATTTATTGAGTATGAGAAATTAGTCCAGAGAACTTCATTATATAGAGCTGCTATAGGTACTGTTAATATAATTCAGTATATTACAACCTTGTACATAGTTTGATTAAGATACGGGTAAGATTAAATTTGCACATCTAGTGTTTATTTGCATGATTTATATTGCTTTCTGAAAAATAATATTTACAATACTTACAGATATCTGGGTCTGAGAAATGTAATCCATTGTATTTTTAAAATATTCAATAGATAATTTGTAATACCAATTAGACAATTAATTTCAGAGAGAATGTGAAAATAATTACATTTTAAAAGGAGATTATTCTTTCTTTTCATTAATACTTTGTGTCTTCACTTTCATGAACTGACTTGCCTCTTCATCTATGGTGTAACAGCCATTGTTAACAAGCATTTAAACATGAGCGAATACATATATCATGGATATGATATAACTTACTTATACCTATGTTGTTTGCAGTTAAGACAAAGTAAATATGATAAATCTTGAAGAAAATTTTGTCATAAACTTAAAATAAGATTGCTTGAAAATATCTATTTGTGGCACAATTTTAGTTTTCTCTTTAGTTGGTCATTTTGCCACTTGTGAAATAAAATTATAAAATCACAAAGTAACCGGTTTGATTTTCATATTTTTTTAAGGCAAGAGTTATTCCATGAGAATAAATGTTAACTTTACTATATAAATCAAAATAATAATAAGCATTCAAAAATTTTTGTCTGTTCTGTTATATATTAGTAAAATTTTAATGTAGTAATAAAGATATTTTAGTAAAATTAAATGAGTAAAATATTCAGGTCAGAGCAAGACAATTTAGGTTTTGGACAGGTGAACAACAAAGAGTACAGAAGAACATGGAAGGATTGTTGAAGAACATGCAATCTTGGAATTGCGGTGCCAAAGGCAGATAAATTTCTTTGCCAAATAACTTACATCCAATACCCAGAAGAATGAAATAATAAAATCTACTGCAAAACAGTTCTAACAAATTTCCATCTCTGAAAATTTACCAGGCACTACAGATACTGGGCACTAATGGCTTGTTAAAAAGGCTATATTAAACTAGGAATGGTAAAGAAAAGATCTTACAAAGAGTTTTTTAAGCGTTTCATAGTGACATCGTTTGCGGTTATATCTTGATTGATTTCATCACTGAGACTTTGAACAAAGTCAAAGAGCGATTTTACTTGTCAGTCATTCTAATATAGAAGAATCAACACTTGTGCTTCTAGTAAGGGAACTCAGACTTGCAAATCGAGAACAAATGAAGCAATATAATGTTAGATTTGAAAGAATAGTTCTAAATGTTGCTGAACTTTTTCGAAATTTTAATTTTATAACAGCAATATTTTAATCATTAATTTTTGGTGATGCTATAAGGAATATCTACTTATTTCGCTTAAATTCAAAGTAGATATATTCACACTAGCTTCTTTCCATGCTGTCTAAAATTATTACTGCATTATATTTATATGTATGAATAGTATGTAATATTATCAATTTCAATTATTTGAGCATCGTAGTTCTTTTATGATGAGGCTCTTTCGCCACTCTTCTTATCAATAGAACAATTAGTTCAGTCACTAAATGAACTGTTTGACTATCAATCAGTGTGTGTGAATCACATTGAAATAAGGCTTACCCATCCTAGAAGGACAGAGATACAGAAATAATTTAAATTATTGAGCTTCCTTACAGGAAAGTGGATTGAATCACAATTATATGATTTTCTGGACCATCTGTGGAAGGATCAGAAAACTGAATGAATACTTCCATAACTTTTTTTTATTGATTTTAGTAGACCATTTCCATTCAAAACATAATATGTCACGTCTGTTTTGTTTTTTCATATAATGTACTGTTCTTGGTAGTTCCAAATACTATGAGTGTTAGAATAAAATCACTTTAATAAAATAAATTGCATCTCATCTCTTTTACATAGCAATGATTTTACTTCATTTGTAATATCACTACGAGTAATTTAGTAGAATAAATTCACCAGTCTGTGAATCATCATTAACAACAAATTACATATTCCACATTAATATTTAATCCTGCCGGAAGTTTTGTATGTGTTAAACATTTTTAAAGTAGCATTTATTAGAGAAATGTCTTAATATTTTGGCTATAAAAAATTCTACACATATTTTGCTTTTCACATTTTAATTTTATACACTAATTTATTGGCAAAATAAACAACAAATAGATATAATAAAATATAGTTTTTATTTACAGTTATGCACATTTCAGTATTACAAAATACTGTGAACTTAAATCTCATAATCTACATAATATGACAGTTTTTGTAATAATCGGTTTTTACAAAACTATTGACTATAATAAAGTATAAACTCAAACTTAAAAATGTATAAAAATGTTCATGTAATAATAAGTAAATAAAAAGTGGTTACAACTAATAAATAATTAAAAAAAAATCTATTAATACTTAATCTGCCAAACAAAGGATTAAAACAGATAATTTTAAAATATTTTGTGATTTACTCGTCAATGTATAGAATAAATCCAAATCGTATAAAGGTAATAGTACTTGAAAATAATTTAGATCTTCACTGTAATTGTTTATGATCAGCATCAACACTTTACGAAATAAATCAACTAAATAGATGGTAATGATTTGTAGTTACTTCAGTATGCTCCATGTGGTTCTGATGGAACTGATGATGGTGGTCTTCATTGTGACTGTGCTCGTGGCCAGCTGTAAAAAGAAAACAATAATTGAATCCAACAAGTTAAAATAGTGTTGAAAAACATCATTAGATATTTTAGAAATGTACCGGGTGGCCAACTAAGAACGGCCGCCGGCCATATCTCAGAAATGAATCGTCGCACAGCTTTAGGAAAAAAATTACATTGAGGAAAGTGGCCCTGAAAAATCGCTGGAAAATGTTTGCTAATTTCTAAAATGGCCGCTATGTGGCGTAACAGCCACGACTAAATAGAAAATTGCATATTTTGCTGAATTAAGGGGTATTGAAAATGTATATGCAATGTAATCCTTAAATAATGTTGACTCTTTTTTGTTTAACACTTTTTGTTCTCCAACAATAAAGTGGTGGGGAGACTTCAAAACAATTTTTTTTTAAATGCCGATTACTCCAAGTAGCCCCAATGGAATATAACAAATTTGTACACCTTGCAAAGAGCTTTCTTTAATCTATCGGCTGCATTTTAAGCTATTTTTATTTAAAGATTACCGTCGCCGCTAGGGAGCGTTATATGACATGCTTACAAATTTCGCAATTTTTTCTTAGAAAAATCAAATGGAATGGTATATACAGGGTGGCCAAATGAAAACGAAACAGAGCCATTTTCAGGAAGCATCATTCCAAAATATTTAAATGACATTGGGGGTTGAGTAATATTTCTTTTGAAAGCTCTTACAATAATTCTCTTTACAACAGATTTTAAATTTTATAATTCCGCTCAATACTTTGAAAAAAAATTACATTTTAAAATTTAAATTATGTTTAGTTGCTTACTACTTAGTTGATTAAATGTTCAAACTGATGACCGCCCGCTTCCATACAAGAATAAAGATTTTGTTCGAAACGTTCGCGCACATTCCGAAGCATTTCCGGAGTGATTCGACGGCATTCGTCGACGATTCTTTGACGCAAATCTTCCAGCGACGCTGGCTGTGTTTTATAGATTTTACTTTTTAGGTATCCCCACAAAAAGAAATCAAGGGGCGATAAATCCGGTGATCGTGGAGGCCACTCAATGCTGCCTCTTCTCCCAATCCAATTCCGTAGAAAACGTTGGTCCAAATACTGACGGACAATTAACGCATAATGCGGAGGAGCACCGTCCTGTTGAAAAATCAAATGATCTTCATCATACTCTGGAACATTTTCAATAATATCAGTCAAGGCAGGGTCAATAGCGTCTTCCAGTAATTGCAAATACATTTGGCCAGTCAAATTACCAGGTAGAAAAAAAGGACCCACCAGCCGGTCACCGAAAATTCCAGCCCATACATTTAATTTTTCCGGTTGCTGTGTATGCACCTCGTGAAAAACTCTTGGGTTTGAATCGGACCAATAGCGGCAATTGTGACGATTTACCGTCCCGTTCAAGAAAAAACTGCATTCATCAGAAAAACAGATGTTAAAAAGGAACTGTGGATCGTTCCCTGCTCGCTCACTCATTATTTCGCAAAATTGCAAACGGCGGTCATAATCATCCTCATGAAGTTCCTGGACTAAATGTATTTTGTATGGATGGAATTTATTCTTCTTCAAAATGGTTTGTATGCTAGTTCGATTGATCCCAGACACAGATGCCAGCTGCCTCGTACTTAATGTAGGATCAAGATGAACTTGTCCCAAAACTGCAACTTCACTAGCTTCATTAACTATAGGTTTTTCAATTTCTCGTTTTTTATTGGCTACGTTCCCTGTCTCTTGAAATTTTTTTACTAACTCTAGAACATACTTCCTCCTGACATGTCGATCTTGATGTTGTTCATTAAATAGCTGAGCTGTTCTATTCGCACATTTATTGTTCATAAAGTAAAGCGAAATGATATCTACCCTTTCCGCAATGGAATAAACCATAGTGTTTAATTTTCAAAAACACAATTAAATAAACTACCAACCAACGCTTCCAAATAATACTAGAAAATAATTTGGAATCCACTAATTTTACGTTCATTGTGTGTGTATAGCATTCATTTCTGTTTTTTACAATTGTGTTTTTTTTACGAAAGTGATAACAAATCGCCAAAAACCAATGTAACGCAAGAATTACTAAATTTACACCATTGGCGTACTTAACTCGAATGACTGACATATTTACCGTTACTAATTTTTTGTACATAAGTTTCAACTTTAAAATCAAAATTCTTAATAAGTATTGGGCGGAATTATAAAATTTAAAGTCTGTTGTAAAGCGAATTGTAAGAGCTTTCACATTCTTCACATTTTTATCCTTTGCATAATGCATATGCATAGTCGTATTATTTTATTTATCCTATCGCAAAGTTGGATACAAAATGGCAATGTACCTCACGCGCCTACGTGTCAACTATGATTACTACGCGCTAAAAACGTATCTAGCTACTGTTACAAAATTTTTAGTCAGTACAGATAGTCTTCAACTAAAGTCACTTATCTACTGCGAGTTATATCTAGTTAGGTACCTTTAGTGAAACAAATGCTAGAAAAAACGTACCTGTTCCTTTTCTAGTAAAGCATCGACAAAAGGTAGTAATATCGTGTTAGCAACATAATTTTTATTCAGCTTGGTATAAAATTGCTATTATAATAAAGATCTTAGCAAGACTTTCTTATTGGTCAGTTTCCCTCAGGATATAAATGAGTTTCTTCTATATAGTTGTTCATTTGTCACATATTAGAGTTGGATTAAATTTTTCATTCCCGCATTTCTAAGTTAATACAGGTTTCGTTCTTACGGATTTTCTTAAAATATTAGTTAAATTTTTTATGTAACACATGTAAGCCAAAATTTTCGTGAAACTCTTTGAAAATGTACAAAAAATTTCACACCTATGTTTTGTAGCTAATCAAATATTTTAAAATGTATTGTAACAACAAAAACAAATCCAGAAATGTTTCTCTTGGGTGTGAGGCGAAATTACACTGGAAATTTTAAGACAAAAAATCTTCAATTACCTACCTAACCCTTGTATCTACGTCACTGTGAATGAAGAAAATACTGTATTCTTATGAAAATATTTCGATCGATAATCTAAAGATTTGAACCAAACTTTACTTAGATCTGAGATCTTAGATGAACTATTGGAGTTATGTACAAAAAAAATATTTTTGGCGGTACACTATAATTTTGTTACGATAAGCATTTTTGGGCCCATATACAAAATGAGACGCAAATTTTTAGCTAAAGGTTAACGGAAAAAGTAATTCCCTCACAAAATCCGGGTTTACCACGCGAAAAACTCGGAGGCATAATACTGCAACTCATGGGAATTCCCCAATTTGCAGCTACAATTCTCAGTACTGGATGTGACTAGACTGCACATAAATAGTAAATAAACCTTATTGATATCCTTTCGCAATAATAAATTTAAATTATCATATAATTTAATAAGATGAAACGTGGAAAATAAATATTTGATTACTTATTGATGTTAATAACTGGGCAATTATACTAGAGAAAGTCCTTCTACGTACTCACTTTCATTGCAATAGGATGTGTACCGTGTATTCCCCATTATCAAGAGCAGTGACCTGACCCGACTTACAAAGTTGTAAATAATCTGTTAAAAAATATTACTAAAATTGGTTTAATCTTCTAGAGTGGAAGTAAAAATAGAAGCTTCGAAAGTAGGTATGTTTCCACTGTTTAGAATTAAATAAGAAACCTTAGTACCTATTACTTTGTTCTCAGGAACGATATTGACTCATTCACTTAATTACAGTAGGTATGTTTGTGTTACACTCTCTAGTGCTCTAGTGTATTCTTCGAATAGATGCGATACTTTCTTTTAAACGTATACGGAGATAGCTACCAACTCGAGTGTTTTCGAAGATATCGATAATTTTCAGATTTTTCATTCAGGTAGGTATATACCTGCATATACTCGAAAATAGCTATTCTGTTGTTGTCTGTTGTTGAGTGTATACAGTGTGTTTCAGTTTCAAATTGCCTTATAAAGCAAGGGTCTGTCTCACCGTTTTCACTGTACAGGGCCGTATTGGTCGGTTGTTAAAATCATATTATTTACGAAATCTTTGGTATGCTTATAACAAATTGGAATGGGTAGTAAAGCGGTATTTTTTTACCCCAACCTCTACACCAATGATCTAATAATCATTTGGGATTAATTTTTAGATTCCGTGGACAATTCTACATAAAAAAGGTATACTAAAAATCGGTATAGTGTACCGTTTTACCGAAAATCTCAGTTGAATGGGAGACCGTTCTTCTGACAAGATTTAAATATTCATCCATTTTTTACAAACTATTTCAATCTTAAAAATAAAATGACAGTTCCTGATGACAGATAAGTCTATTATTGCTTAGTTGTTTTTTCATGGCACGGATAGTGTAATGGATGCACAGCGCAGATTTAAAATTAATATGTAGGTGTAATTTTTTAAAGAAGTTATACCTGTTTGAAACAAAATGGACCGTTGAATCAGCAAGGATACCTATAATTGCTTCAGAATGGCACAAATGAAATTTTACAAGAGGTGCCATTGAATATACTGTCCACCGCATTGTAGCGCAACAAAAAAATGAACTTACCACATTAATGCAATAAATAATACACAAGAGATTATATTTAGAACTTACCAGTCGTTTCGCCGATGTAAAGATATATTATTCAATATTGTTTTGAATTCTAAGTTAATGCGTGACATAATAATATTAATTTAAAATTAATTTCCTATCGTTAAGAAACTAATAAATTTCTTATAAGAAGAACGGTCTTCCATTCAACTAAGGTAAAACGATACTCATTTTCGACAAGTATACCTTTTTTATGTAGAATTGTCCTCGGAATTTGAATCCCAAATGATTATTAGGTCATTGACGTAGAAGTTGGGGTAAAGAAATCCCGCTTTACTACCCATTCCTACGCCATTGACCTACAAAAATGTGTAAATTTTACAGTAAATTATGCACATGTGTATATGTTAACACTACACCAAATTTGAATCAGTTTGTTATAAGCACACCAAAGATTTCATAAATAATATGATTTTAACA